AAAAAAAAAAAAAAAAAAAAAAAAAAAAAAAAAACTACCGACATCTTGGAATAACAGTTGTGAGTGAGCATAGAGAAGGAAGTTCACTAATCACAACGGCATAAAATTGGTCATAAAAAGTAATCCCATTAAAAATAATGTAGAACTTGTAATACACGCCTGAATAATACTTAAAGGCGCAAAAAATCCAACTAAAAACTGAGAAACAAATATCAATTTCCAGTGCCTTTCTTCTACGAAGCAGAGCCAATTAAATAAAATAAGGGAGATGGAAAACTTGCATGCTTCAACAATGTCAGTACATAAAGTCTCATCTAACCCCAAAAACAAAATCATTCTTTAAAAAAAACCACTAACAACAAAGATCCATACAGACCAACCAAAACAACTTCTATGTACAAAAAAGAATAGAAATGTACGCGCTCTGCGTATTATGTATAACTATGCAGTTTTTAAAAAGTCAGTTTCAATCGTCACTTCCCAAGATAAAAGTTGCGGTTGGCGGCGAAGAAGCAGTATCGTAACCTGAACTAGTGCACAAACTGAATGTGCCAGAACTTGAACTGCTCGAAAACACTGAACACGAGCTAGCAGAATTGCCAACAATAAAACGACATGTATTGTCCAGAACTTTACAACAAGAATTGCTCCCGTTTCTAATTGACGTCGCTGATGGACACGACTTGGACAACTCTGCTGGAGGTTCCGGCTCCTCTACTGCCTCTACAGCTTCCTCAAAAGTTGCCAACAAATTGTCTTCACTGACACCAGGAAGTTCAACTATATGATGAAGAGCTGGATGCTGAACGGCCTGGGTCTGCAATTGGGCTGGAACGCTCGAGTAACGCTCAGAACAGAGTTCTGCCGGCGACAATGAACGAGATGGAGATTCCCGCATCCAATTGTGGTTCTTGATATCCTCCAATGTAAAACGTTTCGACGAGTCAAAAGTGAGACACTTCTGAATCAAGTGCTGGCAGCCTGTAAAAAAAAAAAAACAATATACTTAATTGCTTCTCTACCACTATTATCTCCATACATCTAGAATGACAACAGCCGTCAAAAAACAGTGCCAAAAAAAAAAACAATAATTCATCTGTACCTCTCGTCAACTTCGTTCTCCACATCATTGGTGACGGCTTTACAATGTCCTGATCCCGATGGAACGGAATGTCACCACATACCATATCATACAAAAGTATCCCTAACGACCACACTGCTGCCTTTGCCCCTTCATATTCAGAAGAAATAATCCACTCAGGTGGACTATACACTCTAGTGCCTAAATAAAAACACCGGTAAAAGAAGTACATCTACTTTACATTAAATGCATCAAGCTCTCTATTGGGAAACAACACACCAAAATATTAAAGAAAAAACTGTTTCTTACAGACAGTTCAATAAGAAGAAGCGCTAAATTAACAAGCAGCTTCACATCAATCATTAGTTTACTATAAATTCAAAAAGGCAAGACAAATGCCAGTACTAACCTTCAAAATCCGTGTACAATTCGCCAGCGGGCTTCTTGTAAGCTCCAGAACCAAAGTCAATTAATTTTAACTGACCACTTTTCAGATTAATGATGAGATTTTCATCCTTTATGTCTCGATGAAGAACTCCAGCTTTGTCACAAGCAATCACAGTGTCGACAACCTTAAGCAAAAAACTCAAATACTGGTAATGAAACTCAACAAAAAACTGTTATTAAACAATTAGATTAATTAAGGTTTAGATCATTTTGACAGTAAAAAAATTTTGTGTCAAAATTCAAAGGCCATCCTAAACGATATGCGTTTACCTGTCTAAAAAAATTCTTTGCTATCGTTTCGCTCAAAGGACCATTGTCAGAAATATAATCAAAAAGATCTTGGCAAGGAAAAGGACGTTCCATAACAATCAAATAACCATCGGGTCGTTCATACCAGTCGTACATCTGTATAACGCCACCAATTCCAACACATTCAGTCAACAAAGCAATCTCCATTGGAATTGCACTGATGTCTGACTTCTGCAGAATGAAAAAAAATAAAATGAAGAAAAATAGCTGCTCTTCATTAAAAAATTAACAATTGCTGAAAAATATTCTCTCAAAATCTTTTTAGTGATTGGTACAATAATGTTCAAATTTTTATTTGAAAAAGATCCAAGAGAATAATTTTAACCTTCTTCCAGTCTGTGACATTGCACCTAGCAATAAATTTGATTGCAACTGGGAGACCATCAGATACTCGAAACCCAGAATAGACTGTTCCAAATCCTCCCCGGCCTAGTTCAGGACCGAGCTTATACTTCTTCTTGAAAGCAGAGTAGTCATGTGCTAAAAAAAA